GGGGGAGGTGAGTTGGACCATGGTAAGTACAACACACGAACAAAGCGTTTTTGCCGACAAAGGATCGGGTCGCGATGTCGTATGGCGATAGCTTCAGCCACTGCAATTGTGCGCTGCTGTACTGATCTGGGTTCATTAGCCGGCGCCTTATAAGCAACGCGGAAACTTTGGCTGGGTATCACGTGTCAGCTAAATGTTCTACTACAGAGTTGGTTATTGTCCTCCTAGTTCCAGAAGCTAACCAGGTTGGATTGTGTTCCTTCATTCTTTGGCCGAGTTGCCTAGTCGTGCGTCCGATGTATTCCGCTGCATAGCAGCAAGAGAATGAGTAAACTAACATATTTGGGGCGTGGACAAGCACTCTATCCTTGAGATTAAAGTGGTACAAACGGTTCCTGTTGAACTAGGTTCGGACTGTGGCGGCCGGGAAAACTTTGTTCAGACTGGTGGAAAGTCTTCTGTTCGGTAGATCGGCCGGTATATCTCCCTTAAACGGGAGGCTAATGTAAACTGGTTTCCTTCCAGCTGTGACTCTGATGGTGTTTGCTTACTCCCTGTTCAAATGCTTTGTAATAAACTTGTCGGGGAATCCGTTGTCTCTCAGGACGTTGGTGAGAGTTCGGAATTCTCGTTCCAGAGCATCATCAGAGCATATTTTCTTCGCTCTGTTGGTTAGGCTATGTATCAGGTTTCGTTTCTGCTTTAGTGGCACGAAGCTGCCAAAGTTAATGTATTGACCGGACCAATTAGGTTTTCGGTACACCGATCGTTTCAGTGTACCATTGTGACGTCGTTGAAGGCCAACATCTAGGAAGTGGAAGAAGTTGTCATTTTCTCCTTTCGAAGTGAATTGAATGGCAGTGTGAGCCTTATTGAACTGTTGTTGGGGCGATTCCAATTCGTCTTTATTGTTAACAACAGCGAAGACGTCGTCGACATATCGGGAGTAATGCTGCATATTCCATGTTAGCCTTTAAGGGACCATTTTCAAGTTTACTCATGAAAATGTCGGCTAGCATTGGGCTCAGTGGTGAGCTCATGGCAATCCACCGGTGTTCTTATTATAAATGGGAATTTTCGGAATTTTACTAAAATCTTCCTTGTCGTAGGATACTTTCTAAAGTAAACTTTTTATGCTAATAGTTAAACACCACCTGTGATGTGACTCGGGTTTACATTTGACATAAAAAAAAGCACCAAAATCCACATGCCATCATTTGCTTTGGGATGTCGTAGGGCAGACAGTAGAATCCTTCAGCTGTAGCTTTGATTTTGAATATGACGAGGGCGAATGTTGTTTGAGGATTTTAGGACTATCTTGAACGATCGTTTCGAACGATCATAACAGTCGTTGGCAACATAGAGGGGCCGATAGATTTGTTCTTCCGAGGTAAGGTTATTGTGCATCCGCGAGACAGCTCTGTGAAATGGACAGAAGAGCTACAGACAAATGTCACGATAGGATGGCTTCTAATCCCACCAAATTGATGCCCATGCATAACTAACTGTATCATGTTATTACCCGCACTGTCAAGCGGTGCGGACATTGTTTTTTACAACTCTGCCTGGTCTTCCACGACCCCTTGCCTCTTTCGTCTTGGCGTCGTTTCTATCTCACTATCGCTTCCCTACAGCCTCTACAAAAACTCTAGGGGGGTTCTGTTTACTTTCAACCACATACCTCCCTATAACTTAACATGTAATCCAGGGTGCTCAGCAAAATAGAATGCGGTTCCTGTCCATAACTGCAATTTCATCCATGGTAATGAGAAAAACGGCATGCTTTCTTAGAACACACCCACTGCAGTACAAAGACTTCTCTTCGTCTGATGTGGTCTGTACTTGGGGGACATAACCCCTTAAGCTCTGGGAATTTGTCTTGCTCTGTTTTACGAACCCTTTAGTTCTTGGTGCTTCATTACTTACTTCGTCAGGAAGAGACAAATATGATGTGTTTTGTAGTGCAACCCCCCCCCAGCGGAGGTTGACTGAGTGAAGGGCTTCGGTTCGCTCATGTAAAATTTCACTTTAATAACTAAAATGACTGGGCGATTTGCGTTGACCTTGACCCAGAACTATCCCGATGATGAGTGAGTCGGACGATTATTGTCTGATCACGTTACCGTCAACGCAGACTCGACGTCGTTTTTGAAATATGATTCCTCCCGTCTAGTATGTCCAAAAGTGTCATGTAGCTGCTGCCTATATCATTCCTATCTTCGAGAACAGTTATCCATGATCTCATGTACTTACTGGATATATAGGAACACAGATGTGTTCGTCCCCCACCCCACCGTGCTCCGGCTGTTATTTCCTCAGTTCCTGGTGAGATTTTTAAGTATCGAGTTTTGTGCATTGTTAAATTAGTTACGATACCCCAATAGACCCCATGTTTTGACGTTTCTTGATGTGCTATGCTTTGTTTCCCTTTGTAACCGAAATCGTTTTTGCCGCAATTGCTGTGACAACTGCAAATTAGTTGTACGCTCCATTCGCCTACATGGATGAAGTTTTCATCAGTTGGATGTGTAGACTGTTTTCCTTAGAAATCTTGATTGTCACCAAGTCAGCTTATAATGTAATGTGAAAGTCAGAGCAATTGTACCCCAACACCTTAAGGAATGAGCGGGCCACAATAATCACTTTAAAAAAGGATCGTCAGCTGACTGTTTTAGTGAGTTAGGAGCTGGTTGCCATGTGTTTGTGTCTCTCAGTGGGCCATTTCACCCAAATCCAGTGGATATGTCGTTACATACGCTTGGAGTGCAGTCATATAGTCTCAGGAGAACGTGAGACAGCCATGTCATGGATAGGTTTTTCATCATGTGTAAATGTTGCACGGGGAACAGGGACCTCCCTATTGCTAACTTTGATTTTACCGTAGGTCAACTGAGACAGGCTTTCCCTCAGGAGCTAGGTACGGCAGAAGTAACACTTGGAGTCATCAGTCCACCTAATTTTACTGGCGTGCGGCCGAGAATGGTGGACTCAAACGGCAAGGTAATCCAACCTTCACTTTGAAGAGTCGTCCTCACACGACTCTTCTGTCTGGAGTGATGGAAACCTGAAAAACGTTGTGCGGATGGAGAACTAACGGGATTTATAAACCATGTTAACGATACTCTACATACTCTGCGATCCTTACTGAGAGCTATCTTTGTATGGGGATAGGTGTGATTGCAATAACGGTCGCCTCGGAAATACCTCTTCTGATGAACAGTGTAGTTACTTTGTATCATGTCCTAATCATCCCCGACTGCCGTCGTTCTTTCCACCTCCGTGAAAACCGACTATAGTCACAGAGCTCTGGTCCTGTAATAATGAGCGCATAGTGTTTCTACCTATCAACCATGCTTTCCAACAATGCTTTTTAATATTGTGGTTAATTTACTTCAGGCATCCAGTCCCCATTCAGTGTACATCGAACAGGCAATTTCGTGAGACATGCCTATTAGTTTTTATTCGGCCTTGTAGAGTAGGTGGTACCCGTTACCGATTTTTCCGCTCTTAGCCACCCGTCCTAAACCACTCGGAAAAACTGGCACTCAATTTCTAGCATCGGAAGAAGACCTCATCACACACCTACTGCAGCCTAGTTTTTTCTAACGTAGGAGACTTTGTTTTCGTGTTCCCGCCTAGTGGATTGATTCATACAAATCATGTTTTTTCTTCCGACACTCATCTCTCTAGACCACTAACCGCAGAGGAAAATCTAATTCGCCCATCTACTGATTCGGCGTTGGTTGCCGTGGCGTATGTGGTAACTGTGCCTGGCTCAGTCGTAATCCGCTACTTGTCTGAAGAACTACAGAAACGAATAACCAGTAATCCTGATACGGGCAAGTCTGACTCTACTGCATCTGGTCCCCCATATATCAAATTAGATTTATTGACCTACACAGTTTCTTTCAGTGCCTACGGACAATCGTCAAACATCACTCCGCCCATACACCTATGCACCTATTGGCGTTGTGAGCCGACTATGACCGACTTTCGCCTGGATTACACCACACATTGGCCCACAAGCGAAACTACTTCATCGTGAGTTAGCCTGGATTAACTGTTGTTTGTCTTCACTTTTCATGACGGACTTACTACTTAGGAGAAGGCATTGGCTGCTTATATCCTCAGCTTGTTATCCAACCTGGATGAAGAACAAGTTGCGGCAGTTGTCATGGGCATTTGTGTGAGGAACCTACTGAGGGGTAATGCGTTAGTTGGTACAGTTCAGTGGGCTCAGCCCCCCAGACTGACCACCCGATTCCTTGGAGCTGGAAAAAAATCTTCAGGTAAACGGATTCAGTAGGATACATTTTCAGCAACCTTATGAGCAGTACATCACAAATATTTACATGTATCGCGATATATCGAATATCATAGCGACTGAAACTTGAGGCGGCCTGGTGCAGCATATTCAGTTGCCTGAAAACATCATAAACGAGAGGTTCAGCTGGGTTCCAGGTGAGTCTCTCGAAAAACCAAACTAGTTTGCAAATGAGTGTATGCTCGCTAGCATACATTCTTCTTTCCTGAGGTGGAACCCAGGTGCGTCGCCATCTAAGGTTACTGTTGGAAAACGTCAGCTGCCCCCTCGTCCCCCTTACCAGGAAAATTACTGAAGGGAGTCTCTTCTGAAACACAGGCACTTCCGAGAGGAATTATTAAACACCGGATGTAAATAAACGTGTTTTCTGGGGACAAAATTTGGTGCTACTCACATAGTCGATAGATTTCGCCTTTTTCTACGCTTTTGGGGGTCGCGTCAGCGGCGCACAACTGGCTTGTCAGCCAAGAAATTCGCAGCCCTTAGTGTCATATGAGGTTTTCGGAACCGTCTTTTGGAGCCCTTCAAGCTGGTCCATCATCTGATGTCGATTCTCACTGAAATGCGCTCTCCAATTTTTTGCAATGTACACATAGTTCTGCCCATGGCCAGGTTCAGACAGCCATAGCCAAGCACTACATGTCCAAAGTTGTTAGAATCTCGTAGAAGTGTTCCCGGAAGTACCGGACCCAGTTCATTTTGGGACGTTAAATGACAATGTGTCCGACGACGGGGTCACGCGAGGGCGGAAGGTTAGCTAAACACAGAAGCTGCAGAATACCGTGAGAATTGGAAGAGCATTCTCGTTAACTCTTGCGACGGATCCCGGGAAACCGCCTATGGCCAAACTGGTTAGGTTACATTTAACGAAAGGGAACGCCTTTCGTTTCTTAGATTCCAAAACCGCTTCAGAACTCTGAGCGGTGAACAAATGACCCCCGTCGACCGCGGATGTCTATAGTCGCATATCTTCTCTTCTAAGCATCTCTGGACCTCTGGTGATGCTCAAAAGGTACCTGCTGTGAGCACCTGCATTGGGAGAACAGTTCCGCTGGTCTACTTCACCATAACCGCTGGAAGAACCAACCGTGCCTGAATGGAACATCGACATTAGTCGACCGTCATCAACGGAAACCCATCGGGGGATATCAATCCTCCAATGCAGTAGGGTACCTGCTGCATATGGCCCACTGTCTTCAGAAGTGGTTATGTCTTGGTGGTGGTGATGACCGTACTTCAGAATATTTGGAACGAGGGCAGAATACCAGTCGAATGGAGCTCCTCGACTGTCATCCTAGTTCTCAGAATGGGTGCGAGAACGTCATGCGAAAATCATCGTGATATCAGCCTGGTATCCGTCACGTCTAAGGTGCCCTCTGGTATTATTTTGCATAGTTTGATCGATTATCGAGAAAATCAGGCTGCGTTCCTCTCTGGCCGAGAATGTGTCGACCATATCGTTACCTTGAGACAAGTTTTTGGACAGCTCCGCTTTCTCAAACATCCCACGTTGGTCATTTTTTCTTGACCTGAAGACTGCGTTTGACTCTGTTGATCGTCAGGAACTTTGGTCTTGTCATGCAAAGGTGTCCCTTCCAAATTTTTATCCATTATGAGGACACTGCATGTGAACTCCTGTGGTTGCCTACAAGTACACGGTAAACCTTCGCCTGAGTTCACCGCGTCTAGTGGTGTAAGACGAGGCTGTCCTCTTTCCCCTTTCCTCTTCAACTTTGTTATTGATATGCTGCTTGAAATTTATCTGCCTGCCTCTGAAAATCCGGTAGTCGAAATGCTCTCGGGACGTTCCCTGACAGAAATTGAGTATGCAGACGATACTGGTGTTCTTGGTTTAGATCTTTCCCAAATGCAAACGATTTTAAATGACCTAAATAACTCTGCCGCACGGTTTGGCATCAGCTTCACACCTGCAAAGTGTAAAGTGCTGCTACAAGACTGGGTGGGATCAAACCCACACCTCATGCTTGCAGGTGAGTTAATCGACGTGTTAGATAAGTTTGTCCACCTGGACAGCTGTATAGTTTCTGGCGGACTGGCTGGAGATGGGATTATTTCCCGAATTGGAAAGGCCAGTGCGGATTCTGCCAACCTCCGACACTTATGGTGCCGAAGTGATGTGAGTTTACGCTGCCTTGGTGTCATCCATACTGTTTTATGGACCGGAGACGTGGCCCCCACACGCGGAGGACATTCGGAAGATGCCAGTGTTCGACCATCGGTGTCTCCGGAGCATTGGTCGGGTCCAGTGAGAGCATCGTATCAGTAATAGTGAGGTACGCCAGATGGTCTTGGGAAGAAGTAACTCTCCCGCGATACATAAATTACTCATGGGGGGAACCATCCAGAAGTTTTCCTGCAAAAGGTCGTACCCGGCAACCACACCCACTCTATTTCCATTCAAATTTGTGTTCGACGAGATATTGAGAACAACTCTGAAAGGCACTGGTGACCCTGGTATTTGGTTAGTCGCTGGTATAAAGCTTGTCGATCCTAGTCTTCTAAACTGGGAAGTAGACGCAGGTGTTCGGTACGAGCTGACTACAGTAATCCCAGGCTTTAGCGTGCACTGTACCCTAAAGCGTAGCAGCATGCCCTTGTAAATGCTTCCATTGAACGCACCACTCGCAATCCAAAGAAAACCATTCGAGGCTGTGGGTGTGTATTCATTCCGAAAGTTTTTCTATCAGTTCCAACCCTAGTGACGTCAGTTCACGAGATCCTAGGCTCGCATCTCGTTCACCAACTAGACATGAGCGTATACGTCAAGCTGCAGTATAGACCATTTTGTAGTATGCTCGTTAGGTATGACGTTCGTTGTCTGAGAAATAAATTTCGAGTAGACTGGCGCCAGCAGTCGGAAAATCAATACTCGGTTGTACAGCTGGGACATCAATTCATCACCAAAAGCTGCGGTGGTTTGCTCATGTGTAGCTTTTGTTCGCTGATTATCTACCGAAAAGGGTGGTGTTTCCCGTGCCTACTCCATAATGACGCAGCCAGAGACGGCCGAGCTTTGATCGACAGAAGGGTACGAAGACGACCATTAATTGCAAGCATTATCGGTGCCAACCACCTTCTAGGATGGGGTACGCGTTATCCCATCTGTGTTTAGCTGGAGACCTTGCAAGGAACTATTTCTAATGGTTGTTAAGGACATTACTACTATTATTATTATTTTATCGGTGCCCCTTCTAGGATGGGGTACGCGTTATCCCATCTGTGTTTAGCTGGAGACCTTGCAAGGAACTATTTCTAATGGTTGTTAAGTTAAGGACTACTATTATTATTATTTGATGGTCGTTTTCAATTCCTGTTCAGCTTGTCTTAACGTGTCTGGAAGTGCGGACATCTCGAAATGGTTGTAGTAGTGGGATTAGTCCCTTTTCTCTTAAATTCTTTTCGCACTGCACCTTTTCCGCGACAGTGGAACATCGGTCTTCAACACCGATTTTGTGCTGTGATGATGACAACAGTTGTGGACAACATTATCTGCAGGGTCCTTCAATTAATTGGATCATTAATTGGCCATTAATTGGATCCAGGAGAAAGATTTCAGTGAAGTTCGACGTACCATTTAGCCTGAGTGATTTGTGCTTATTTTTCCGGTTTTAGTCTTATCGCCGTAGCTGATCACAAGCCACTGAGTAAATCTGATTGGAATCGGAAGAACTGGGATACTAACTAGTCACTTCCCAGATCCGTCTCAGTATCTCGCATCATGATGTATACGGAAAACCCATTTAAGTAATCACAAAGGAACCTGTTTTGTCTTTGTTGTTCGAGTCTCCTTGTGCCCGATCGTCAAATTTCTATCTTCTTTATTCCAGCTTACCCCCTCGAGGTGACCTGCGAGTTCACCTCAGTGTCGATGGTGGTGTGGCGCGCATGCAAAGTCTTCCACTCGGATTCTGGTTTCCTGACTCAAATCGAGCCACCTGGCAAATCCCATTGGGTCAACCAACCACTAACAGCGTGGGCAGTACCCCACTTCAGACCAATGCACTGCCTACCGCGAACCTGAACACATCCGGTACCATTCGTGCCAAGTTTATCCTCACAAACGGTCCCGGTCGACCACAGCCTGTGGCCTTACAATTCTTCCGCGAGGACTGCCTTGCCAGTGGTGTCCTACTAGAGTTGGAAGGCTCGGATTATCGCCTTAGCCTGTGCAAACGACGGGTGATTGGCGATCGATATATTTGTGATCCACCTAGTCATTCTCCACGATTTCAATTACACCCCGCACCCCACGCACTGAAGACAATCGGTCTGCAACCAAAACCTCCCAGTCGCATTCCACTCCCTCACTCCGATGGTCTTCCTCAATCAATTCGAGATTCCCCGTCTCTTGCTGCTAAAGCCGAAGACAGCATCCCCTAGTCTTATCGCTGGCGTTCTTAGTCATTGCAGCGCAGTTGATTACCAAACTTTACCATTTCATGGGGAGCATTTCCTCCTATCTGATGATCC